AAAATGTCTTGCTAAATTGTTGGACTTGGATTTCTTTCCGTCCTTTTGGGTCTTCGTGTGTAAATGACTTCGCAAACGCCTTTTCAGAAGGAAGTTTGGAAGCTTTGTAATTTATAGAATTCTGAGAAAGTAACATTTTGAAAGAGAGAACGTGGGTCTCATGCTGCTGCACTCATGTGACAATAGAAATCTCAGGAACACTGGTGATTTATTTAGAGGCTTCTTGGCCTTACAGAAAATATGTATGAAAAAAGTGATGGCCTTTTAGCTTCCTAACTGAAAGGAAAGAAATGCCATCCTGAGACTTCAGTATAATTTCACCGGCTGGTGTGGAGTGCTCCTCAGAGCACACGTAGCATCTGAAGACCAGCAAATTAGACATCTCTATTTACAGGGATGGTGGACAGCAGGGCGGATGGCCATCAACACATGGCGTTCTTTTTAGCGATTCTTATCCGGATGAAATTGCTTCTCCTCCCTTAGATGTAAAACGCAGAGGTTACTGCATTATTCATAAGGGTAGAGAACGGAACATTTTCCCATCGAGAACCACAAATCAATAAATCTTATGATCTCACTACTGGGGCTGTAATTGAGCTAAATCATCTTAAACTGGGCGCTGTTCCTGAGGTTCTTTGAGGCACGCTCCCTGTTTCTTTGAGTAAAATTGAGGGCTGACCTCCATGAACAGGAACACAGAGGCAAGGCTCATAAATACTAATATTCTGTACCAAGTTCATCTGAGCAGGGCTGTGTCACCCAGGCCTGTAAGTGTTCAATGCGTGACTGAACGCAGCAGAGAGAGAACGTCTTGGCTGGGCTGTCCGATTTCCCCAATGACGGAAAGGCTTCTCTGTGTCACAAAAGCGTGCCGCTACTGGAGAGTGTTAATTACCTTTTTAATATCTATTTCTTCGAAGGCAAATATTTAGTAAGTAGCAACTGTATATCTGGTGCAAAACCCTGCCAAATGGTCTTCAAACAGAATTGGACTCTACCTTTTAGTAAGTCGCTGTTTTTGTCATTTTATTGTGTTTTTGTCTTAAACAGAGTTAAAGATGCTAACACGTAGACATTTAGCACATGATTCCTGATGATGTTTCAGATTAAAAACCGTAACATCCGGTGCTCATGAGGCATTTACTGCACACCCAGCACTCAGCATTTTCTATCCATCAATACTTCTCGTCTCCTCGACAGTCCAGTGAAAAATCAACTCTTAGTATTCCCATTTTCTAGATAAGGAAACTAAGGTCAAGTTAAGGTAACCTACTCGCTCAAGGTTGTGTAGCTTAAAAGCAGAGAAGCTGGGATTGAATCCCAGGTCATTCAGCTCCAGAGTCCTTCCTGGAAAGGTCCCTGGCGGTGAGTGACCTTATTCAGCCGTGTCCCCTCACGAGTGAAGCAACTTGATCGAGCCCGCTGAGATGAAGACTTGCCTGGATGTCCCCTCTGATTCCAGGCAGGGCTGGGAGTGTCTCCAGATCCCTGCCAACTCGTCCCGTCCACCCCAGGGGCCTCGTTTCCTCTTACTGCCCAGCCGAGCCCCATTCCAGACCTTTCCTGCGTGCCCCACAAATGCAAAGACAGACCAAAAATGCACATCTAAGACTCTTGGAGAAACACCTGCAGGGGATCCTAGAGGTCGTGAAGAGAAGTCATGGCTTATGGGACACAGTAGAAAATATAAAAACGGTTTGAAAAATACATGGAAAGGTGGGGAATTGGAAGACAAAGCTTAGCTAAAACTTCGCCGGAGCAGCCGGGAGGCCTGGTCCCCAGTGTGGCACTGACCCAAAGCACAGAGGTGACAAACAGTGCGGGTGGGTGGCTGGCTCTCGTCACATATATAATTGTCTTTAAAAGATTATAAGTTAATTTATGCTCAAAACCATTCCCCAAAAATTAATTATTGGGATTAAGAACAGTATAGTGTTCAGAGCCTGAAATGAAGCAAGGAAGCCATTCTCTAGATAGTACGGTGGCTTTGATGTTGTCAGAAACACTGAGTTCGAAGGGTTTAAAATACCCAAAACTCAGGCCTGGTTACAGATCAAGCAGTGCTGTTGATGTGTCATTGTTGGCGTGTTGTGTTGTTGCTGTGTTGTGTTATTGTAGTGGTGTGGTGTTGTTACACTCAAGCCCCTTGCGGTGGCCCTAGAAAGCCAGTGGCCCCAACGTGGGGACTTCACAGTCGTATCGGTGATGGGAGCCGAGTTCCGCAGAGCTGAGGAGGGCTTAGGCTGGATCTTCTTTTCTGTTTCACGTAGAGGTGAGCCCCCCACGTACTGATGAAGAGCAGGGACAGACACTCGGGTGTCAGCAGCAGGGTAGAGGATGGTGACAGCCTATGACGTTTGTGTTGGAGGTGACGGCCATGTGGGGCTGGGGAACGAGCGCCAGAATCGCAGTCTGAAGACGTAGGTTCAAGGTCTCCGTGCCCCCGCGCTAGCTCCGTGACCTTAGGTGTGCCCCTAACACTCTCCGCGCCTCAGTGTCCTTATCTGCAAAACTAGGGTCAGAAAATTGGAAATAAAAGCTAATTTGAAATAGGGGGCCTTCCAGGGCTCTGCGGAGGAAGAGTGATGGCTTTTCCTCTCTCCACGCGAGTTTTCTCCTTCGACAGGCGGCGTTCCTTCTGCTGGCTCAGGCCCGGTTCTCCTCGAATGCCCTGCGAAGGCCCCTGGGAGTGTTCGCCGTGCTGGCTGCTCACTTGGAGAGCTGGTGCCCAGGAACCTTCACTGTCGGCCTCTTCTGAATTCCCTTTGTGGAAACGTAATTCTCGGCCTTTTCCTTTTGGCCACTGTGGTTCCCGTGGGCATCTGAGAACTCTTTCAGCCTCCACGGGTTCTGTGTCCTGAGGCCCAGAATGCACATACCACCGTGAGCTGGCATCTGCCTCTGCCCACAGCTGGTTCCCTGACCAGCTGGAACGGGGTGTCACATCCTGGCCCGCGCCCATAAGTTCAATTAAGAATAGTCTTGTTAAAAAAACAACTGTTAAAGGATAAGCAGGACTTGGCTTTTATAATGTACAACAAATTTAAGCAATAAACTAATGGTAATTAGAATCAGGAGTTTCTCTGTCATTTCAAAGCAATCACCCCTCAGAACAAAGGGAAAATTCCTTTCCAAAAAATATACGGCAAAAGCCGTATCCGGTAAAACTTTTCGGCTTAGAGTATTCATAAAATCTTTATGGGGAAGTCTTATAAGCCTATAACATGTTTGAACATCAGTTTTCCGGAAAGCCGATACATGGACATGTATTTCGCTGGTGTGGGGCTAGGGCTGCCCAGTTCCGGTCAGGGACGGTGACCGGGGGTGATTCTCCCGAGGTCTCAAAAGTTAAGGAGAACCTGATGTGGATGAGCACTGGGCTGTCCCTCGTAGAGGAGAGGCCAAAATATAAAGGAGTTGCCTCTGACTGCCATTTAAAAATCTTCCATCTGACACCTGAAATTCCAGTTGTGGACTGATTCTTAGTCTCACTGCTTTCTCTATCATCGTAACCATTGTCACGGCGCGATGTCACCTGTAAACATCTCTGACAGGACGCCACACCTGGAGAGTGAGGCGGAGGGAGCCCCTGTTCACGTGGCTTCCCTCCTGGCTGCGCCTCCTGCCCGCCTGCCTCCCTAGCGAGGCCAGTGCTTCCGGAGTTTCTGCCTCCTCCCCCGTGTCAATCACTTCGCATCCTTAGTGGGCTATGTGGCACGTAGTCGTCTGGCTGCAACAGACACCCTTGGACGTCAGCGGCAGGTGCTGCAGAGTCAGCCTGTGTTTGTTGAACAGCTCCCGTGTGTCCGAGACCTTATGCATCCCTGGGGAGCAGCAAGAAGTGTCAGAGATGCCCCCTGGCATTTTAAAGCTCATGATCCTGGTAGGAGAGAAAAGAGGTGGGCTGTCCTCCCTGGCGGGACACGGTGACTGTTGCATGAGGACCACCGAGAAGAAGGTTCTGGAAGCTGAAGATCTTGAATTGGAAGAAAGCTCTTCCATCAGGAGTGGCCAGAAGGCAGTGCAATTTGGATGGGGGATGGGAAAATGAGTAGGACTTGTGGGCGATGTAGGTGATGGGAGACGGCCTTTCAGAGCGAGTGCCGGGGTCGGCAGAGGCACGGAAGTGGAGAGGTACAGGCCTTGAGGTCCCCGTGCTTAAAGGTAAACCTGCTGCTTACCCGTACCTGTCAGTGATGGTCTGCGTGGCTGCCTTGTAGAGGATATGGAAGCGCTTACATTGGATTTAGGTTGCTGTGTCCTTGGGGTCAAGGGCTGTCTACTCTTATTCTTTTCTTACTCCCCCCAATGCCTGGAAGTGTCTTTTATGTAGTGATCGAACTGCTTATAGCATTGTAAACTGTAAGTCTGTGATGTTTGCAGCCCCAAGAAACCCTTTTCAATACTGACTTCCTTTGTCCTTCATATGATCTTCAAATATTACGCCTGCATTTTTGTCCGCCTGCCCAGATATTGGTCATTATGGTAACGCGGCCCCTGCTCTGTGGTCCGTGATGTCCCGTGGTGCTTGTGCAGTTCGGGCAGCTGTCATTCTGACTGGCTGGGGAGGTGCAGGAGGCACAGGTTAGAGGGAGGGAGAGGGAGGACCCAAAGGCTAATCAGAAGGAACCAACCAGCACGTTTGGTGGTGAAGCTGGACATGGAGACAAGTTATTTCTGAGCATTAAATAAACTGAGCCCTTGAGACATTAGGGAAGGTGAACGATGCAAATCATGGAATATGGTAAAAGAAAGAAGCTTCCGAATGAGTCACACTAGGTTCTTAGACCGGACTGCACTAAAAATATTTACTTGACATCGAAACTCAGTATCGACAGCTAAAGTTGAAATATACGTATCGTGTTTCTGTTTTATGCGAAAATACAGATGACACCCACGCCATTGTCCGCCGCCCTTGGAATCCTAGGACACGGTGCCCTTTAAATGTCAGGACGATGGGTGGGCCGTGCGTGACTTTTCTCTTGTGTTTTCTCTTGCAGGACGCAGCAGAAACAGCCCCCCGCCCTATGGGTTCCGTCTCTCCTCAGAAGAAGAGATGAGGAGAAAGCGGCTTCACAGATTTGACTTCCAGTGAAGGGGTGTGACATCTCGGGCACCCACGGTCCAGCGGTGTCATTATTGCCCGTTGGGTTCATCCTCCAAGAGCCTCTAGTTCGTTTTTAACAAAAGCAAAGTGCACTGTCGTCACCCAAGCCGTTCACGTCACCCTGTGGCCACAGTGAGTCTGGATTCGCAAACACATTGACTCGTTTCGAAACCAGACTCGTAGAATGCAACTCGCAGCTTTTCAGAGTGGCCCTTCCCCTGGCCTCGTGTTCCCTCGCAGACAGGCCAGTCCATCCACACCGGGACCAGCTCCCACACTCCTCGCTCTCACTGCGGACTCATTCCGCTTCTGAAGACTGTGACCTTCACTGGGAGGTCTGTTTTCACCAGCCCCGAGGATCAGGCCCTCATTCTGCCCGGCGTGCTCCATGGCAGGCTGGGTAGGAAGTGAGACGCCATCCCTGGTCTCCCAGGCACATTGCCATGGTGACTTCCCAGGAACAGGATGCGGCTTCCATGGTGCAATTCTGCTCAGCCTCCTTGACACAGGCGCCTCCGCTCCTGGGGCCCCCGCATCTGGGTGGCGTCGACCGTGAACTTGGCTTGTTCCTATGTTGCTCTGCCTTCATAGAACACCTGACTGGAGACGTTTTAGTAAGACCTCAGGTGGGGAACCACCCACACACTCTAGCAGGTATCAGGTGGCGCCAGCAACTTGGGCAGCCTGTCCAAGTTTGGCAGTCTGTGTCCCTGGGGATGTGACTTGTATTAACTAATCAGGTAAGCAGCAGCAGGTGCCACGCACAGAGTAGAGCGAAGGTGTTCAGTGGGTTGGGTCACGGGGAACTCTTTCCTGAGGAAGTTTTTTTCCTCATAAAAGTGCCTTTTAATTGGCCACGATAGCAGCCATTTGTGCTTCTTAAGTGTCTAAGACACTCCTGCAGTGCTGTCTTCCACAGACTGTCCAAGTCACTGACGACGTTTCCTGGTGCTCGTTTTCATGAATAAAAGGACGAAGTCATATATCACTGATGTCTTACTGTCACTGAAGTATTTAAGTATTAAAGAGAACTGTAAGCAGAAAAGGATCTTTCTATTTTGATTTAGAGTTTTCTGATTGTGAAAGTAATATATATATATACCTTGTATGTGCATAAAGCAAACATGGGAGAAAAGAACCCACTTGTTAACAGTGATTTTTGAGTAGAATACATAAGATTTTGCTTTTTGGAGTGTCTAAGACACTCCTGCAGTGCTGTCTTCCACAGACTGTCCAAGTCACTGACGACGTTTCCTGGTGCTCGTTTTCATGAATAAAAGGACGAAGTCATATATCACTGATGTCTTACTGTCACTGAAGTATTTAAGTATTAAAGAGAACTGTAAGCAGAAAAGGATCTTTCTATTTTGATTTAGAGTTTTCTGATTGTGAAAGTAATATATATATATACCTTGTATGTGCATAAAGCAAACATGGGAGAAAAGAACCCACTTGTTAACAGTGATTTTTGAGAGTAGAATACATAAGATTTTGCTTTTTGTTTTTTTTAAACAATTTTATACTGCTCTTTTAAAAACACATGTATGTAGATACATATGTATTACTTTTGCAGAAGAAAAACTGATTTATAGAACAATAAACCAAAAAATATATAATCAGGAGAATGGACTTAATAAAAAGTGCCGTCTATTGAGAAAATTCACACTGTAAACAGAAGTACAAATAAACACGCGCACAATTTTAAAATCGTCTTAATTCTCACCACGGAGAGGTACGCAGGGCTAACACTTTAGGAGTATTGTTTTTCTTCGTAATGCACCTGACAGGTTTGGAGCGCACCAGCCATGCAGCTCTGTATCCCGTCCCGGATCCGAACCGACCCGGGAAGGGCTTTGATCTTTGCGTGTCAATGAGCTAAGGAAACCACTGAAGCCCTGCCGGCCGGCACAGAGAGACCCGGGCTCCTCGGCTTAATTCATAATCGATGTAAAGCTGCAGCTCGTCCGTAATGTGAATTCCGTCTACGCGTCTAGTGACTTTAAACGTGTCTGTTCCAGCTAAAGGTCCTCTCTCTTCCAGACTGTAAATTCGACTCCCATCTCCCCTGTGAGGGGAGCCGCGTCCTCACACACCGTCTTCCCGTAGCGCAGGGAGTAAGTCATCTGTTACGACACTGATTTCTCGTCCTCGCTATGGCTCGCACGCAGCTACACAAAGACGTGCCTTTTACACTGGAGCAGGGGTCGCCAATGGCTCTGGGACCAGGCCTGTGTCTGGTTTGTCTTTCTCCACAATCCCCCTCCACCCCTCCACCACCCAGAGGCCCTGCCCCTGGCTCATTAAATGGTAGTCTCTCATCAAAGTGGGTTTTTTTTCCCCCTCAATGCATTAAAAGTCCAACACTATTCTATGGACATATTTTTTTTTTTTATTGCTGTTTAATCCAATAATAGTATCTCCTGGTCTATTCAACTGGTCAGATACGAAAACACTGGGATTGGATCTGGGATGATATCACTGTAATATAAACGCCTTTATTTATGGAGTGGAGCAGCACTAGACTTTAGAGATATGGGAAAGGTCATTTTAGTTCTAAATATAAACCAATTATCTTAGCACAGCAGTAAAGATGTTATGGAAATTATTATAATTACTTTGTTCGGTTAATAGGCTTGCCTATAACCAGGGCTTGTTATTTTTAATGTCCATCTTTTTTTTTTTTTTTTTTCCTACAGTAGGAAATCCCCAAAGTTATACCAACGAACCGGAATTGGGTTGAAAAGACAAACAAAAGCAAGTGTATTAGACTCATATCTCTAATAGAGAATAAGCATTTAGAGCTGGTTTTTAAACTCGATTTCTTTGCTTAATAGTAATGTCCTGATTGTGAAACATCCATTCTCCACGGTTCGGTCGTGGTCGGTCAACTTCTGAAACCTCTTAATTCAGAAACTTGGTTCTCGAGATGAGGGAGTGGTCACAGTTGCTTCCTCCTGATGACCTTGAATGTGCTGCCTGTGACCGTGATCGTGCATGGTTGCTCAGGCCCCCTCCACCTTTTCAGTTGTCTGCTGCTGAGGCTCAGGACGAGCCGGGAACGTCTTCCTTTAGCAGGATCCGGGCCAGGCTGCATATTTTGCGCACGTTCTGCTGTCTAGGGAGTGAGTTAGCTAAAGGGATGAGATCTGTCGCCAAAATGGACTGTAAGACAGAGAGGGTGTGTCTGACCAGGCCTCCTTGTTCCCAGTCTGAGTTTCTCTTGAGAGATTCAGTATTCAGTAAAGAATGGTATTCAATTAGTCATTTTTTAAAACCTATCATCTCTTCCTTTCCCTTCCCAGGGATTATTACAGTCATTTCCTAATTTTTAGTTTATTTTTCTTCCAGTCTTTCATTTTAGAATCACAAACTCTGCTTAAAAGGACCTTAAAATCTCTCCATATTCATTGCTCTGTTCCATACTTTCCCCCTTCACTCGGTTCTAAATAGCTCCGCCAGTTAATCTTCCCAAATCTGCTCTCGCGATGCCATTCATCATCTCAGCACCTTTTATTGTCTCTCTGTTGCCAAAGGACAAAGGTCAAACTCAGCCTCAACCGCGGGGTACCAGCCAGACTTTCGGCCTCAGCCCCACTTCCCCGTGAGTCTGTGTCCTGCCGACTGGTCTCACCGCCCAAGCGGTGAGTTTTCCTGATCCCGTGACTGACTTTGCGATGTGCTCTTACATGAAGCAGCCTTCTCCTCCTCTGTCTCCGCCCACCCAGATCCTCCCTGTCCTGTCCCCAGACATCAGAGCCCAGAAGGACCTCACCCTCATCAGCTCTGCCCTTGTCGGGTCTTCGTCACAGTGTCCTCAGGCCTCTCGGAGATGCCGATTGTCCTCAGTCAAAGGATCTCTCTCCCTCTAGGTGGTAAGCTTCTCGAGGGCGGGGTCCATGACTGTATCTGTGGATCTCCTTCTTGTACCTTGAACAACGTTGGGTCTGGGATATTTGTGTATTGAAACAGATCGAAACTCATTTCTACTGTCACCAGTGACACGTAAGAAAGATGTTCCCATTGCCCATTGATATTGTTATGATGTTGTTGAAGTCGTTCTTCTTCTTGTTTTTGTTCGTTTTTCTTGACTCTCCTCAAGGAAAGAATGACTTAAAGGAAAGCATTTGCTCATAAAAACAGAATTTGGGGCCTTTCCCAAGTCTTCGTAGGATGACAGGCCTACTGATCAGATGGTGGGGAGATACCCACCATTGTGTGTCAGTCTGAAGACACCTCCCACCTCACTGAATGCTGTGACCTTGTGCACAAAACAAGATTCCAGCATATCCGGGAGGTATCACCTAGGAGTCCCTGTGAAGACAGCTGCCATTCAGTTGTATTGTGTTTGATGTATCTTTGCCAACATTTTTTTCCTGTGGCATTTAGGAGCAGAGAAAGAGTGATCTCGACGTCTTGTTCAGATGGCAGAGATGAACTGGCAGATTTGTAAATACGATTTATACTTGAGCGAGGAAAACTGAAACATTGCTAATAGAAATCATTAAATTTGGTGGTAATACATACAGCTGCTTGGGAAGAGGATGGTGTGATAAAATCGATAGTATCATGTGGCTTAAAGAGGCTCTTGGAATCTGGGGCACACGTAAGCAAAACCCGAGAAATATCACATGCCACATGACTCTGTTCGCAGCACCGGACCTGGGTCCCTTCTCTAAGTGTTGAAAAGAGCTGCTCGCCCACTGGTCAGGGGTTCTGCCGGATGTGACTTCATAGATTCCTGGTATTTATTTGAGATCCTTAAAAGTTATTGCCTAATTTTAATCTTGAGATGTGCTGTCTGTAAGATCCTTAGTAGCAGATAATTATTTAAAGATCCCATTGTATGTCTACACCCCGCCTTCTGCAAACCGGTAGTTTATAGACACTAAAGTCCTCAAATTTCAGGGGCGCACACGTACATTTTAAGATGATCACCAGTTATCCGCTAGGATTGTAAGAACGACCATCCTGCCAGAAAGAAAGAGAGCCAGTCACCCTGTTTCAGTTGTGGAGGCTCAGAGAGCTGCAGCGAGGGGTCCACGCTCAGCAGCTAGGAACGGGCAGCACTTCCTGTTCTTGTGCTGAGCAGAAAAAAAGGCCCCGATTTCAGTGAGAAGAGTTAGTTTGAGCAAGACGACTTACCTGCAGCCGCACACCGCTGTCCTCCCACAAATAAGATGCCCAGCCCGGGGGCTTACATCCCACAGTGGTGCACGTCCGCAATGGGCTGGCCGGAAGGACCAGATGTGCGAGTTGCTCCTCGTGTGTTATGACAAGAAATAGTGGCTCCAAGCCACACGTTATCATCGGCTGGATACACCATTTACTGTTTGCTGTAAAGCAGACTGATTGCTTTGTGACGAGGAGAACTTTTCACTCCTGATTTTAAGGCTTCCCCTAGTTTTTCCAAACAGACTCAATTGATTACGGGTTGATCATTGCATCTTTCGTTGATAAGACAACATCGCTGAGCATATAAGCCGCCCCCTAAATAATGTATGCTAGGAAATACTTTGCTGGCACATGAGACAATAAAAATAGTCAAGTCGGCTGGCCGCAGTGACTGAGCGGCCGGTTTAGGGTCTTTCAGATACTTCGTCTCCGACTCAGAGCAGCTCTCCTGAATGGCTGACCATGGACATCAAGGGGCCCCAGAGGCCTGGCTGGTCTTCAACTGACCCTGCAATACAGGCCTTCTGGGCTCCCCCAAATCACTGTGGCCTCATGGGTTTCCTGCCCCCATCCCTCCAAGACCGGCTTAAGGCAGCCTCCTGGCCACGCTGGATGGCTGCCTGAGGCCCCGTGACATGGGGCTTTGCAGTGGTAGCAGCAGTTCAGGGGCCCAGAGTGACATCTATATGGGACCTTCTGTTTTTCTAACCAATCCACAGATGGGGAAGCTCCTGGAAGGTGAAAACACCATCTTTAAGTGATAGACTGGGGTACAAGTTCTCCTGGGTGCTGACCGTGTGACCTTGAGCAAGTTATTTATTCTCTTAACCTCAGTCTCCTTATCTGCAAAATAGGATAGCTGAGAGGCTGAGGGGCACACATACAGCAGGATGAATACAGCTCCCATCACGCAGTTCCTGTTAACACGTGGCTCCAGAAATGGGAAATGCCGTTACATCCGTCAGGTAAGAGGTCGGACCAAATATCATCGAAGTTCCCCCTGCCTTAAAAAGAGTAGCTCCATGAAACAGCTACTGCACGTCCGCACTGCGCCTACCCTGCACTTGGCAGTGTGGGCGCTATGACAAAAGATGCCCAATCCCTACCTTCCAGTCCCCGCGGTTATTAGGGGCAGCGCCTCACACATTACATCTCTTTGTTGTTGTGTCTCTTTTAATCCTCAGAACAATCCTGTGAAGCAGGTGGTCTCGTCTCCTTCAACTAATGGGACACCGGGCTTGATGCAGACCCCCTGCCCTGAGGCCTGGTGTCGTGCCCATCCCCCCCCCCATCACCGAGTGCAGGGCCCGCTTCTGCAGCCACTGACTCCCATCCTGTCCACACTCTTCCCATCCGCAGTGCACGCCATGTGACTTTTTCTGATTTCGCCACTCAGCCGACTACGAGGTAGGTAAAAAAGTAAATTGCGCTTGGGCTTGGAAGAAAATAATGCACCAGATAAGACACAGTAGTCTTTGGAGGTCATCACAGAATTTTATATATAATAAATGATATTATTAATCATAATACAACAAAAACTTAAGTGTCAATAGCAGACCAGGCATCTTGCAAATGTTACATGTTGACAGTCTTTAACTTTACAACCATAAGTTAGAGCAAGGGATGCAATTTATTGGACCCGTTTCACATTTTTTTTCTATGAATCATTAAATATTTAAGCACCATAAAATTCAAGCATTTCACATGGATGTGGCAGCCAGCCTCGGTGGTTTAAAATGCTTTATGCAGAGTCTCTGGCAGATAATAACAGTGACAATCGCAGAGTACTGATTTTTAATGTCAATTGTTTTGTTCCCTGCAGAACTTCCTCATAAGGTCCCTGCAGGAAATCGTGATTTTTTTTTCCTTTTTGTGGTAATTTGAAAATTGAAATAAAATAGCATTCCCAGACATTAAGAATTGGCCACGTATAAATAATTCTAATTAGTAATTTATATGCCTGTGAGAATCAGAATATAATTCTGCTATGTAAAAAAATATATACTTTTCATATTAAATGGTTTGTTTTAAATAGAAGATGTGACCAAATAAGTGTCCGATGACTGTTATGCGCGAGGCATGAATCTAACTCACTTTTCAATGCGAGAGTAGGTATCATGCCCCATTTCTTAAATGAAGAAAATGAGAAGGGACTTGGGTTCACTAACCCAGGGTGACACAGCTAGAAAGGGACGACGCTGGATTCGAACCTGGATTCAACCAACCCTAATGCCCACACTTCCCACTATGCTTGCAGCCATACCAAACAAAAGTCACGCTTACCAAATTAGTTTGGGGAGCCGATAGAAACACAAATCGAATGGAATTTCCTGGCAAACCCAGAATGACTTGCTTTACTATAATCTATAAAAGGCTCAAAATCAAATCCAGTGTTAGGGCACCATTCCGTTGGCTATTTTCCCAGGCACCGATAACATGTATACGGACTTGGCAGAGGCCACATCATGAGGGGATACAGGGGACAGCCTGAGTTCAGTCATATCACAGTTCAATGAACTGTCTTCTCTCAGCCCAATCTAATTTTATCTTTTCCGAAATTTCAGTTTATGGAAAAGTAAGCACTTTTTAATCAGGTTGTAGTGGGCAAAGTGATGGTTTTCAGTTGACCCTGCAATACAGGCCTCTGGGCTCCCCCTAAATCACTCTAGCCTCTTGGGTTCCCAACCCCCATTCCTCTAAAAACAGCTTCGGACAGTCTCCATCCAAGCCAAGCTTATCAATTGGCTTTCTGTCAATAATTGTGAGAGGGAATTGTGGGTGTCTAGATACGCTGTCACAATCACATGTTTTGAAATAAGAAATGGTTTATATTGTTATCATTTTGTCAATGAGAACCCTATATGCAGAGCTGAATATCTAATGCCTAATGATGCTTATTGAGTTGTCATTGAAAAAGAATCGAGTGTCAATAATATACTCAGCTCTGTGTAGGTACCGGGCATACAAGGATGAGTAAAGCATGGCCCCGCCCTCAAAGGGCTCACATTTTAGCACGAGAACAGAGGAAGTGTGACGAGATGTGACAGAAGCCACGGAGAACATGAGAGAGTGGACAGGCCCGCTAAGTGTACGGGGAGCAGCGGGAAGGGAGCGAACTCTCTCGGGAAATTCACATACACGCCTCCCTGCCAACTAATTCAGTCTTTAAAGATAAGTGGTTATCTGACAGGTAAACGTACCTGAGGGGGGACATCACAGAGATAGGAATGCACCTCTGCTATGAGCATAGAGGTGTAAGCGGGGCAGGTCCTGCAGGCCTTTCGGCCCCGTGGGAAGTCATTTGGACTTCATAGGCGGTGGACTTATTAAAGGATTTTTAAGCCAAAGAACCACCACATCGAGTTTGCATCTTAGAGAAATGACAACTGGGATTTGAAAGTGGAGGTGTCAGTTGGGAGATGTCTACGACAAGCATACATAGGCCGGAGAGGCAGGGAGCAGACCACAGGAAGTGCTGACCGAAGTTTAGATTTGAGGAATGTGAGAGGAGAAAGCACGGGCCGCCACGCATAGCGTAGACCCTGGGGTGCTTTGATGGACGGGGCTCCTCTCACTGAGACTAAGATCCCCGAAGGGAACTTCCTGGCCTCCAACTCACCACCC